TAATATACATATATAATTATATATGAACAATTTTTCTTATTTCTTCAAACTTGATTTTTTGTAAAAAAAAACAATATAACAATTATTCTTTTAATCATTTTTTGTGTTTCCTTTCTTATTATTATCAATTTTGTATTAAAGAATAATTTTACAAAGGAAAGAAACATATATGGACGTATTTTGCATATAATGATATATAATTATATATGGAACTTTTTTTCCCGGGGAGCTAAAGCTTCCAGCTTCGTGCTTAATATTTCAAAGTAAATTTATATATTATACGTATCCAATTCTACAAACTACGCGCCAATTAAATTTTCGAGCTTGAAACGCAATTCAGCTGATATTTTTCACGATAAATTTTTCAAAATATTTTAAGATGTTTATAACGTGAATATCTTATTAAATTACTTGTCAATTTAATTTGTGATATTGATTGACTTGTGGCATTCTTAAGATGTTATAAACCAATCGCAGAGCCGTACATTAATATTTTAAGACATTATTTAAAATAAGAATAAACTATGTGAATACTATAACTAAAGACTGAAGATTGAATATACATATGAACACTTTTGTCATAAATATAAAAAGTAACGATAAAAGTAACTGTATAATTCGTTACCGTTACCGTTAACACCGTTACCAATCCGTTACCAAAAAAAAGTAACTGTAACGGTAACAGCGTTACAAGTGACGAATTACTTCCAATCCCTGGTGTTATCACACCTCACAGAATTGTTATACGCACTTCAGACGTTACAAGTCATTAATTCTTCCAGGCGACGGAGTTTGCACGGTTTTCGGAGATCCGCACTATCGTACATTCGACGGTAAATTCTACAACTTCAAGGGACCATGCAAGTACCAGCTGGTTACCGATTGTTTCTCTCACACATTCAGCATACGGGTGACCAATGATGACAGAAAAACGAAATTCTCAGCATGGACCAAAACTATTGCCATAAAGGTACATTTAATTACAGAGAACAGTTTCAATATAAATTATAGCACGAGACAAATTTAAGCGTCGCTTCCTTGAATTAAGCAGGATAGCTGATTTAAAAAGAACAGCTATAAAAGTCATGTAAAGTATCATTATTCGAATTTTATTGAATAATAGATATCAAGTAATAAGTATAATTTTATTGAGTAATAGATATCAAATAATAATAAGTGAAAATAGACCGAAAATGTGAATACACAACTGACAGTATCTGCCTATACAGCCAAAGTGGATCTTGGCGCCTAATAATATGTTTGCGTGAATTTATATATACATTATCCAGTTCAGGCAAACTGCGCGCCGATTGTCATTAATATGTTATTAAATGAATTGTCAATTTAATTTGTGATATTACGATTCCAGCGTCAGTTTTGGGACTACGTTTCAAGACCGATATATAATTGGCGCGTAGTTTGCCTGAACTGAATAATGCATATAAATTCACGCAAAACATATTATTAGGCACCAAGATCTATACTTTGAATTAGATAATGTATATAAATTTAGGTAAATTATTATTAGATCCACTTTGACCGAATGATATCCTACATAATAGTATCATCTACTTATTTGCATTATAATATCATACTATTTAAAATTAGTGCTTTCAACGTTTTTTAAAAGTTTATAATTTTTAATCGCATGCAAATGAGACTATAGATTTCCACTGATATGAACTAGCTGATTAATAGCATTGAGAAATAAAGTCTCCTCTGAGACTCTCTTGGTCTATTCGAAAAGAATCTACTCGCATCGAATCGAATGAAAAAAAAAAGACAGAAACTTTCGTTCTATTCCCGCGTCATCATGTTGCAGATCGGCGATTTGAAAGTAAATCTTGGTCAGAAAATGAGAGTGAAGGTAAACGGCAAGAAGGTGACTGTTCCTTATCGCGTTGCTAACCAACTGGACATCAATCGTACGGACGACAGTGTGATTGTCAATACGCGGATCGGGATCAAGGTGCATTGGGATGGTATCAGCTTTCTCGAAGTGTCTGTGCCTTCGTCGTACAGGGGCCAATTATGCGGTCTTTGTGGTAATTTCAATTCCCAAATCAAAGACGACTTTACTATGCGACATGGTCGAGTGGTGCAGGATCAGCAGCTGTTCGGTCAATCCTGGGCCGTGGGTATTGCCAAGAAATGTGGCGCCCGAAGAAATTCTACCTCGAAATTCGGAAATATTACCAGGCAGAGACGTTGTCGAGAAAGAAAAGATCAACGGTATTTTATATGCGTAATCTTATTTATCTTATCCCTTACTATATCTTTCCAAAAAGTGTCAGAAATAAAAAAAAATATTTTTTTATTATGTCAATGATATTTTATATAACTATAAACAAACTATAAAATAATTTCCTAATAACCTAAAATTCGTAATATTTAAATTTAATATTTATGTTTGTATAAATTATAATCTTAATGTTGCTACTTATTATTAACGACAAATATTGATATCAAACTAACAATTCTTAATTAAATCACATAGTTATAGTATCATTCGATTATACAGAGTATCTCAGATCACCCAAAAAGATACACAGAATAATGAATATGCAATTTTTACATTTTTGTTTTTGAAAGTAACTGTGTTTTTTACATCAGTCAATTTATCAATCGATTCTCCCTTATTTTATGCATAAAAGTATTTATCAAGAAATCATAGTTTACGAAATATTTCATATTTTATATTTAAATATATGGCATGATAAATTCAAAAAGATCTCGTAAAGTATTGATTTTTCGATAATTTTACCTTAATATTTTTATATCCAGAATAATTAAGGAAATCATATCATTACATTTAAAAAAGTGTACTGATCTTGAAAAGTCGATTATTTTGGGAATTTGATTTTATCATTATTTGTCCCCCTTTATATCCTACAACCTTTATGTGAAATATCTTTCGTATCTTGCGTATTTTTCGAAATATTTATCTGGGGAAATTAAAATGAGATGCCCTGTGTACACACACACACACACACACACACACACACACATCTAACACATATACATATCTTTTTTCTTTTATCCCCATTATTTTATCATTTTATAATAATATCTTTCAAAATTGATTTTACATCCATTTTGAAATAAAAATGCTTCTTATCGTAACACCATCAACAATTTACTTTCCTGTGATTGCAGATTATGTAACCGACTGAAATCACAGATCTTCTATCCGTGCCACAAGAAGGTGAATCCGGCGATGTACTTCAAAGCCTGCCTCCAAGACATGTGCGAGTGCCCGACCCAGCACTGCTATTGCGAGTCCTTCGTGGCGTACGCGCACGAATGCAAGCGACTCGACATCCCACTGCCACACTGGCGGAAAGCCACGAGGTGTCGGACCATTTGGGACCAACCAATAAGTTCGACAAATTTCCCTCGCCACTTACATTAATCGCGCACTTTGTCCACCGCCGCGTCCGGCCGCTGAAAACTCTCAACTCCCGAGGGACGTGCAGCAAGAACGGCTGCGTCAAACTTTGGGACACATTCTGCATGCATTTAGAGAAATCACTTTATATACGCTCCCATTCCTCTTCTTCCTTTTCCCTTTCTAACACACCCGAGATAACTTTTTTTTTTTTTAGTATACGCGAATAATGAAGAAGAGATACGATGCTGGAATTCAGATATTTGGAATTAACGTTCTGCACGTAGAGCTATAAAGACACTCTAAAATGCGCGAGATAATCGAGAAAGAGCAAAATTCTCTCGGAAAATTCGGAATTCCCGAAGTCGAATTTTTTTTATTGAGAGCAAAATGAAGCTTCCGATTAAATACTCAGCGAGCGAATAGCATAAGGAACGTGGTACTCTTCTTAGTACCCTATGACATATACGAGGGATTAATGCGAAATAAGTATTCATAAATGCTTATTTATTCGCGGGGCAACGTAATGCACGCGGCACTTATAAGTCTCTACCGTCTATAATGAGAAACGGCAATAGACTGTTAATGCGGTAGAAAATGTTTCGCCGCTTGCGTTGAAAATGTATAATACGAACGGCCGTATGTATGTACGTATGCAGTCATACTGCCACGCCGTCGGAATAATCTTAGTATTGTATTACGACAAACGACGTGTGTAACTGTTAACAATGATGAAGCATAAAATAGTTAAAATTTTCTCTCGAGTCCGCGAGCTACCAGCTTATGTCTCTCCTCTTCGACATTCTTCGCGCGATGTTATCTTTCTATTCCCCCAAGAGCTCTTTCAGTCTTGCGGGAGCGCACAGACCGGACGCGGCGGAGTGCTCGGCGAGAATCTACTAGTCACCACTTCGTATCAATATGCATTAACGGTAAGTTCCTGTGTGCCCCCGTGTTAATAACGTCGAGTAGTGACTAGGGACGCACTCGAGCCGGAGTAATACTCTTTCGTACAGCTTTGTGGAGGAAAAAGAAAGATCAAGTTTTATATTAATAATATCAATTGTACAGAGTGGGCCAAAAGTCTGAATACGGTCAAATATCTCGTAAAAATAAAGCGTTTTTTTTTTTTTAGAAAAATGTTTTGTACAAAAGTTGAAGGATTTTAAGTGGCGCATTACATAACAATGTTAGTGTGACCTTGGCTCATTTTTAAGTGTTAAGGTCACATAAAAATCATATTGCAAATTCTTATTTTTGATATTTTTATAAACTGATCTCAAGAGCTTTTCAAAACATAATAACAGTTAAACATAATAAGTTTCTTTTCATTAAATAATTTCCGAATTATAATCAATTGTCAAATTGTACAGAGATAATAGTCCAAAATTAGTATAAACATATATTTACTCAAACGCTTACTGATTCATTCTTTATACACACGCACGCGCTCACACACACACACACACACACGAGGTGTAAATCCGACCAGGCAACCTCCACGCGGTACACCTTGGTAATGCTAATGCCGGCGGTATACTGTAACTTACAAATTTTGTTTACCGTTTCTAAAAAATGGCATGACATCAATATTCGCATCTCTCGAAGTATTGTTGCCTCTTTTCCGTGATACAGTTGTCTCGCTGCGCTTACTTCGTG